TTAATAATCCTAACTATTATCTAGAAGAAGTCCAGGCAAACATTAAGAAAGAAGTAGTCAAAGAGCTTGACAGAGTAAATTAAGCAAAATTTCTAGGAATTTAAATGAGTAATCTAAAGATCTCGATCAAACTAAAGGAACAAATACTCAAAAAAATTCATGTAATTATTAGAGCTCTCAAAAATAAAAAGGTGATAAATAAGTAGACATTCTATATTTTAAATAGGGTATTAATATTAAGGATAGAATTAGAATGCAATATAGCATATTGTCAAAAAAAATATATAACACATTAACAGTAGCATACAGAAAACTCTTCAAATACAAAAGTTTATTATGCAGATCTACTCCCAACAGCATGATATATTACCTAAAGATCTATAATTTGAAGAGCATCTGAATGTTACAAAAAAAAAAAATCAGATAAAGGATTATACAATAGATTGAATAATTTTGGACTAACAGGAATCACAACAATCATAACGGTTAAACAAGTACAAATCAAATATTAGAAATCACTCAACCTATTGATATGTGACTTACTAGACCATCTTATAGACAAAGGCAACTTTTTGTTCCAAGTAATTAAGTTAGCTAGAAATATAGGAATTATGTTTCAAAGTTAAAAATGACATGATATCTTTGAATGAAAAAAGGAAATAGTCTGATCTGAGAATATCTCTTACCTGAGGAATATAATAAAACCATACTATCACTAAGTAACAACAAGTTGATGTATATAGATCAGCTCATTGACTATGAAACAAATAAAGTGAGAAATTGGTACATGCTCCAACTTATCTAAAAAACTATCAAAGGTCCTATTCTAGAATAATTCTTAAATATAAGTAAAATATTTCACAAAGAATATTTAAATTAACTTATAGAGTCATGGAAAATAAATTGGCTAAAATAGAAACCAATATATTTTATAGTCAGCCCTAATTGTAACAAAAGACAAAAAATATGGATAATTAAGAAGAATGCTAATTATTAACTAATATGGGGAAAGCTACTATAAGATGAATCTAAGATAAAGGCAAAAATCAAATACTACAAGTGCCAAAATAGTAAAAATAATCAAGAAACAAAGCTAATTAAATATATGAGTTGTCCAGAAGGTTTTATTCAAGAATATAGTTGCATAATAAAGGAAGATATGGAAAAGATATATATAATACCATATCTTAATACAAAAAAAAAGTATTAGGAGAGCCTAGATGTTACAATCTCATATCACACAATATTTTTGGAAAGAGCAATTAGAAAAACATTAGATAGCAATCAAGTATTTGTATAGAGTTTGCAGGGACCATTCCAGCAGTTCACTTTCCAAGGTATCAAGATGGATTATATAAATATAGAAAGTTGAAAGAAATGATTATTAAAGAGAATATTAAAAAGGAATATATCAAGATCACCTAATAAAGATACTCCAGTATAATCTAAGATCCAAATAAAAATTAACTTTCTATTCAGATAGATCACCAATAATTCATGACAGTGACAATATGAAGATAGGAGCAGCATAAATCCAAATAAGTAATATAGGAAAAAAAAATAGATTTCAAACAGGAGTAGATAGTTGACCCTCATCCACATATACAGAACTAATAGCAATAATCATAATACTCCTAGTAGTTTTAGTAGGTAACTTAATTGAAATCTCTATGATAGTTAAGCCTGCATCTCAAAGTGAAAAATATTTAAGAAAAATGATTAAAAAAGAATGCATAAAAGATGGCTAAAAAATAAAAACTGGTTATTATGGGTATAAATAGTAAAGCCTGTCAAGAAAAAAGATCTAGATGCGAAGCTTATCAAGGTTAAAGCATATTCTTGAGACCTACATAATGATAAAGCAGATGTTCTAGTCAAATATGCTCTTAAACTTTTAGCAATAGAATAAAAAAATTTCTCCTTATATAAAATCCCTGTAGAAATCAAGTGGCAAAACAAAACTTTAGATGATTCTATAAGACAATTTATTAAGAAAATGAATAATAAGACTATAGCATATCAGTGGACATTACAAAATTGAATAAAAAGAAAATGGAGCCACCAAATTCAAGAACAACAAAGCCATACATGGAATCTAGTATGGGAAAGAATGAATAACTATATGTAGAATACATCTTTCAAAGATTGTCAAAAAAAAAGCTCCTTGATTAAGCTAACAAATAATAAGCTACCAACACTGAGTAAACTGATGATAAGAAGGCCAGACCTATACAAGCAAGTGAAATATACTGCATATAATTTTCAGGAGGAAAAAACAATTAATCACTTATTAAAATGTCTAGTATATAAGAAACAGATGAAAAAGATATGGAATAAAGATCTCTAGGGAGTTTTGATAAATTCCAAAAAACTTTTACAGAAAAGGAAAAAAAAAGCAAAAAAGAAAAATACTAGATTAATAGTGGATAACAGTGAAGAAATGAATGAAGTATACAAGTGAATATCCAGGTTAGTAGAACAGTTCTTAGCAACTAGTCAGAATACATTAAGTTTCTTTGCAGGATTAATAAGAAGTGAACTTATTCTTGAGATGACAGACCTTAAATGCTATAGTAAAAGAATTGAAAAATAAACAAGAAGATAGATCAAGAAGCTACAAAGTATAACTTGTAACCAGTTCCAGAAAAAGATTTAAAAGGCAAGATGTGAAAGGATAATAAAATGGAAAAGATCATAAGGAATCTAAAAGAAAAATAAGATAAAAAGATCCCCTAACCTTCCAGGTAACAAAACTATATGACTGGAAAGAAAAACTCTGATATTGGAGAAAGGAAGATTAGAAGATAAAGATCTAAAAGATATCTTATTAAGAGGAGTTAGATTTGAAATGAGATGGTTGGATTTTAAGTAATGTTAGAACATAAAAAATGATCTGTAGTATTGACTTGCAGGCAATGATATTAAGAGTTGGAAGAGTTTTTATCTGAACTTCTAATGGAGTAATAAATCATTCCCAAAATTGCACTTAGAGTAGTAATGCCAAAGATGAGTGAATTAATTAGCATTTTTTAGCTTAACGATTCATATTATATGTACAGTTTACAAATATTTAATAAAGTATACATAATTAGCCTAATAGAGGGTTAAAAAAAAAAGTTAATAATAGATATTTTTTTAAAAACTCTTTCTGCTAATCTTCTAATCACACACAAACAAAATGTTTACATGAAGTTTTGTACTTTCTTGTTAATAAAGTCTTTATACTTTCATTAAAACAATTTGTAACTTGTTTTCATTTATTCCTCTTATCCCCCCTTACTTATTTATAAACTTTTTTAAATAAAAACTTGAGTCTCTAGTGATCTGAAAAGACTCAGATATGCACTTTCTCTACTAAAGGCAAAAAGGTTCTAGGAAATAAAAGGACTGATAAGTGGAATGTCACCTCACAGAACTGAAAGTAACAAGAAATAGAGGTTCTGTTTATAGAGGAAGGCTTATTATCCATCTTCTCACATATTGTCTTATACTTTCTTAAAGCACCTACCATTTTTCATGGTTTTCTTGGGAGATTTTGCTTATCTCAGTTTGATTCTGAATTTATGGTAACATAATATTACTTAGTATCTGATTGGTTGATACAAAACATGTTAGTAGCTGAATGTAAACAAGCTCCTATTGGTTACCTCATGTGTTCCAATAACATCATTGGTAATTGAAAGAATTGATTGATGCTTCATGTAAAAGTTACTATTTATTCAAGCTGAGATCTTTTTCTCCTATCATCCTGGTCAGGCAAAGTTCAAGATCAAGGTTTCCCTCTTATTCCGGTCAGGCAATAAGACCTGATGCAATAAGCTAAGAATATAAGGTTACGAAAAACTAAGCTTAGTTCCTGAACCTATTAATACAAAAATAACCATGTTATATCTAGTGAAAAATTACGAAGTTTGAATATTAGTTTATATGATTTAAGAGTAAACTATTACAAAATGAAAATTAATTAGGTTTAGTTAGAAGATATTATTCCGCAGTATTCTCTGCAATACATACATAGCGCTTTAGCACGATTTTTTACATGACTATTTTTTTCGTGAATGTGGGATACGAAGTGAGCGTGTATGCTAATATTTCTCGATCAAGTTTCATTATAATGAAGTTATCGATTCAGAATTTGAAATGCGCAGTACCATTATTTCGGTACCAATTATATAGTTACTTATATAATAAAACCCTTTGTCGAATCGGGATTAAAGGGATCTCAACTTCATCGGGATAGCGTAAAATTCTTTTTATTGTTAAATTAAGGAGGAGCCGTTGATCAGATTTTCGTAATGCGATCATATAAACGTAATTCCCCCCAAAAGCGTATACCAAAATCGGTCCTGCAAATTATTTAAAATGGTGATGTCCCTGTTAGCAAATCCTTTTACCTGACTTGTGCAAGCAAAACGAAAAAAATCAAGCGAAATAATCAAACTTACTATTATTTACGTTATCAATATTATCATTCCAACGAACAAGTATATTCCGTAAAGTGATAACAAGGTATGTTTGTTTATTGCTCAGCTAGCTTCTTGAAACATGTCATCATGATGCTAATCGATTTTCCCGTCTCTATAGATGTTCCAAAATAAACCGAACATATTACTCTTTTTATATATCGGCATTTTGATCTTCGCTGAGGAAATCATGCGTATAATAGGCGCAGTGAAATGAATTGCAGTATCACGAAAATGTTATCGGCACCACGTGTCTTCTCAGCGCAGTAAAATTGATGTGGCTTTCCTATCAACAACAAAATTTGGCATATTATGTCAAATAAATTTTCTGGTAATAGCATCTTACTAACCTCCCGAATTTAACGCTGTAGATTAGAAATTTTTCTATCTCGGTAAAGTTCTCTTGCAGGAATAATCTTAAATAGCCTGTGCGGGTGTAGTGAAATTTCGGAAATATCGTGTAGAAAAAGAGTGTGGAGTAAAATCTTGTGATTAGTAGCGATAGAAATAAAATTAGTGAGAAAGCAAAGAAATAATATGATGCTGGGACTCACCCACGTTATCATAAAATAATACATCAAAGATCCATACACAATAACACGTGATCACAATTAATTTTGTGGCTTAGTCGTTTGACGATAAGTTTATTAATAATACGATCCACAAGGCTCTTAAATATCGCGGTAAGACAACCATACTAGCCTTTTCCTATGATAACGCTCGCGTAACCTGCCGTTTGCAAAAATGTGTAGCCTTTTGGGAGTCCACGGATGAGCCTTCACTAAAAGGGTTCTTAGAATTCCGATTAAGAACAAACGATTCGGAAGATAAGGACACAGAGCACCGTAGGTATAAAGTTGAATTGGAAATCATTAAACATCACCATTGTGGAAATTCTGAACTCGGGGCAAAGGTGACAAGTTGGTTAAAACAATTTAAGGCAAGTGTACTCGTTTTATTTGATTGGTTCGATATGTACGACACCAACTACCATGCTGGTTGCGACTGGTATTGGGAAAGGTTGCGACTTGCTGGTGTGCACATCATAAATGATAAAAGTGTTGCTCTACATCGTTATCAACTACCGTGCTGGTTGCGACTGGTGACGGGAAAGGTTGCGACTTGTTGATGAGAGTATGTAGTACGCATATACACTTCAATGGACTACCATGCTGGTTGCGACTGGTATCGGGAAAGGTTGCGACTTGTCCATGATTTGCATACGTTTTTCTTTAGAATAAAGTTATAATTCTTTTCTAACTTAAATAATTTTATAAGAATGATAAATCATCAGATCAAGTAAACTATTTTTGGGATCTTCAAGTGAAAAGACAAAATGCTCTAGCGGAGATCAATTTGTTTGACGTGAAAAGCGATTTAAATGAGAAGAGACAAGTAGGCTATCTAATATTTTCGAAAATTGACTTTCTGCTTTGACAGCACTTTCTAATAATATTGTATGTAATTTGACGAAGGACGATCTAAGGGACCAAATCTGTATTGAACAGGTTAGTATGTTGACTCGACATTCAATTACACCTATCATGATTTTGCATACTGAAAGGTTCATTTTTAGGCTCAACATGTTCTCGATGCGACAAGAGAAACTCGGTCTCAAAGTGTCTTACTACAACAAACGATCACCAAAAAGCGCTTGTTGGATGAGTCTCGTGAGCGAAACTATAAAGAGTCAGGAAAAAATGTAATGGTCAATTCTTCAAAGTTCATTAATTGCATGACCTTTTTTTGATTTGGTATATCATACTACATTGTCTTGCTTGTATTTACGAACTTTGTGAATTTATTTGATATATCGTCATAAACAAAAGTAACGTCAAACTAGACACTGAAAGAATATCCCATACTATTGCGAATTTGAATCAGGATATGAACCCAAGAAGATAAGGAGAGAAGGTAATAACCGTCACCCACAGATGATAGAATTGCACCTAGAACCACACCGCAAGTTCCTCGGAATTTAAATTCAAAAAAGAAGGTCGCTGAATCCTCAGATTCAGATTTAGAGGATGTAGAAGAATGCTCAGATTCAGATTTAGAGGATGTAAAAGAATCTAATGTATTGTAATTATTTTTTTACCAAGTTATGTTATCATAAATCACTCAATTCTAAACCTCGTTCTTGAAATCTATCAAGAATAAAAACGCAAGATCACAACATGTCCGTGATAACTCTAGTTCTCGTGAAAGCACGCCATGCCCAACAACTCGTTCAGTTAAACACACTTTAAAAATGACACCTAATTAACCCATTATTACGAAAGCAACATATAAAGAATATTCTGCACACATAATTTGTGCTTTTAATACAATGATACACCTTGTCAAGGAAACTATTGGAGAACAAGCGTATGAAGAAGTTAAAAATATGCTCCAGATGGGAAAAAAATTGG